ACTTAGGTTTTACCTGGCTCGATCAGTATATTTCAGTTCATCAATAATTCATAATAAAGAAGACTTCGTTCCTTGATAGTCCACCGTCTTTTGTCGTGTTAAATTTACTTACAAATTTTTAGTGTAAAACAGAAATCGTGGAGACCCATACATCAGTTCTTTCCCTTGTCATTTTTCCTGTGTAAAACTCTATACTATACAACTATTATCACACAATATAGGGGGAGTCTCCTCTACGGATGTGAGACGTGGACCGGGTGACCACCAGAGGTCTCTGCCCCTCTCTGAGGCCGAAGGAGAGCGTAGTTTGTTCGTGCGACCAAGGGGTTTGTACCAGAACGGGGTCAAATCGGCCGTCGTGGACATGGGATCTTCCTGATGTTATAGGGTATAGGATACCACTCCCGTACGGTAACACCCATTACTTCAGCAAGTTGTACAGTATTTAGTTATCCCAAGTGAAAAATAATGTTCGTATATCGCGACAAGTTGTGGACGTCCGCCCTCGTCTTTTTGGGTATCTCCAGTTTGACCAAACCCATCAGTTGACAAACATGCCTCGCATGTCGTAGCTGAGGTTCTTGACCGTCCGGGACGGACTACGTCTAGTTTGGGTTCCATGGTGTGTGTTGCTGTGTGTGTTGTGTGTGTGTGTGTGTCGTTGTGTGTGGTGTGTGTGTCGTGTGTTGTGTGTGTGTGTGTGTTGTGTGTTGTGTGTGTGTTGTGTGTGTGTGTCGACACGTCTTTTCAGACTGAGGAGGAGAACGAGGAGACGTCACCTAAAGGTGCAGTGGTTTACCACTTCCACCTAGTATTACTGAGGTGGACGGTCAAGCCACCCAGTTGGCGAGGGTCTTACGTAGTCGACGAGTGCCAATACGCTTCGGTGGTAGCCTCAGACGCAGGTCCAACCACTAATAAGTCTCCTACCCAGTTTCTCCACTCGTCTACCGGACATTCTTATTTTTATCTCATGAAAATGCGTCTAAAATTAAGACTAATGAAAAAATCGTAATCCGATCGAAAGCTGATGACGATGGAGGGTGTAAAATGTTCCTTTTGTAACATAAAATTGGTTGATATCATAGGAATTGATTACTCTTAACATTTTGACATTACTATAAATAACATTATAGTCGGAACAATATCACACTTTTAATTTAGTGAGTTATTTTACCGGATCTTGTGACACATACTTACGTAATCCTTCATTAATAGGTCCGATGTTATATAGTTGTTATATCGAGAATGACTCGTTCTTTCCCATTTCCTATTAAAATGTCTTTTCAACAACGATCGAAAATTTCATGTTCGACTTACATGTGTTTGTAACTCGATAACGTATTCTCTGCGTACTTAAGGGAGACTATTACCAACAAGTAATATTAGTCTATAGACGTAATCGAAGTTTCTTGTTTCCTAAATCAAACTTTTGCGAAATGTCGCGAGTTCTAGTTCAGAATAAAGTATCTTAGTAAAACTTCGGACAGAAAGGAACAGAAGACAAATTAAGTCTCTGTGCTTCTGAGAAGTCTCCTGTTCAGCCGACAGGGAAAGTCCATTCGGACGTTATGACTGTTACCAGAGTATTTGTTGTTATTACATGGCTGACTATAGGAGAGACCGTTATATTTCCAGGTAATAATTCCGCACCTCCTGACAAATTTCCCACAGTGGAGACACAACCGTCCCTGTACCTCGGGCGACAAGTAGCGTTTCTGTCACTCGGGCGAAGAAGGAGAGAGCACGGACCTTTGTTTCCTCCCGGTCCCTCTGAAGTTGTGTGTAGTGGTACAAGTGATTTCTTACCACTGCTGGCTTTGCGCTGAGTTAGTCGGCTTCTGTCAGACAAGGAAAGAGGGGACAAAGGATTTGGGAAAGGTTTGGGGTAAAGACTAACGTGCGATCTTTCACTCCGGTTCCTGCTTCCAAGCCGTGATTGCAGTCCTCTGACTCACTGGCTTTTAGCATCGCAATGCCTACTTTTGTTGGTCTATTACATTCTGACCGTGCTCGTAAAATCAAAGTTTTTGTAAACGCAGTCGGTAAACTACAGTATTGTTCTGTGTCACAGCCAGACAACCCCGGTCTACGACAGCTCGTTTATCAGACGATTTTTACGATAAACGTGATGAACGTATACAACACTTATTACAACACATACAACGGAGATATTCGGACATTTGACTCAATATAAGGATTTATAGTAATCACATAGTTTTTGTTCCGAAAAAATTTGTCAATGGGGCCATTCTTTACATGGTCGACTCAGAAAATACGCGTACCGATAGACCGAAAGGGGGGACCATGTTGTATGATGTTTAAGTCTAAAAAAAAAAAAAATACATATCGTGCTATGTGTTCGAAACTATTGCCATAGACGACATGCGTGTCTCTGATACTAGTCTAGAGATTGAAGGAACAGGACGAAAGCGAGTAGACGTCTATGAAGGACTCCTGTCGCTCTTCGGGAGACGTGTTGTCTCTGTGACAGTGTCCATAGTTTTGCGGAGTTTATGTGAGGTCGCAGGTGATAACACAGCTCAGAATTGCTAGGGAAACACACAACGTTACGTGGAATAACCAGAGAATTTCGCACAGGTGGGAGCCGGACAAAGGCAGAGGCGGCGACGCAGTGGACACCTATTATCTTGACTTCCTGCTCACAGAAAAAAACTGCGACTCCAGTCGGCGCTACGTGTCGTGCGCGCAGGACGTGATCGTTCTAGGTTCTTTTAGTCTAAGGAAGCAAAAAATATTGGAGCGTAAGTCGTTTGATCACGAAGAAAACAACATTTTCGGGAGCCGGTATAAAGTCTAGGTCTTTTGAATAATTAGGACATCTCGTCAAACCACTGTCAACAAGGTAAGGTTTTACTTTAGTGTTAGTTTACGCTATAAACCTACTTGTATTATGGAT